AGCCGCCTCTGGGATACCACAGATCGCTTTTGCTGCAAGCCCCGCCGACCGATCCAAAGAGCAAGGCACCGATCCGCCCAACACAACGGGTACTCGGTGGTTCGTATGGCCCTCCAGACCAAGGGTCAACGCAACAAGGACGCGGCTCCAAGAGAGCCCGCTCCCGCTCTGTCTCTATCTGAGACCTACCTCGCGACCAACCGCGGGACGCAAAAGAATGCATCTGAAGAGGAAGTGGAAGCGATCTTCTGTGAGAGTAGGTTGCTTTGAGTGTGGTGAGTGTCCGGGTGTGCTCGGTAGAAAGGGTGAAGTTCTGAGGTTGCAGCGCTATAGGGTTTCACGGGTTTTTGGGAAGGGTTTTGCAAGTGAGTGTGAGGCCCAGACCCCCATGGAAGCCTGGAGGCCCAGTGACGTGCTGCAAGTGTTTTGCGAGGGTTTTGTGAGAAAGGCTCAGGCTCTACTTAAAGCCTTGGGGCCCTCTGTGCGAGTGTGTTTGCCAGGGTACGCGCAAGAAGCCCCGAGAGCCCAAGCCCCCAAAACGTCCAAAGTCACCGAGGCACCGAGAGTCAGCAAAGCACCGAAAGTCCCCGAAGCACCGAAAGCCGAAGCACCGCGAGCCAGCAAAGCACCGAAAGCCTCTGAAGCCGTGGAGTGTTTTGTGCTGGTTGGTGTGCGGCGTTTGCGGTCCTTGTGCTGTTGTGGCTTGGAGCGTGTGCGTGGCTTGTGGTTGTGTTGTGCTTGTGGCTGGGATGACCTAAGGTCGGAGCCTTTGAAGGTGAAAGGTGGCTGTGATGAGAAAGTGTCTGAGCCGCCACACCGTTTGTGCATGATGCGTGGACTTCCGGTGGAAGTGACGATTTCCGATGAAGAGTTGATTCCGGATGGTGATCCACCAAGGCAGGCGGAACCCGCCCAAGCCTCAGCTCCAGCACCGGTTGTTGAAGCCGAGCCTGCTGCTGAAGATGCTGGGGATATTTCTGAAGAAGGGGAACTTCATGTTCCACTGGAGGATAAAGAGTATCAGGAGCACGTTGCTCGGGGCCATCAGCCCTATCTGCCTTCGTGTTCTTTGTGTGTGTCCAGTCGAGGAGTGATTCCAGCGCGAAGGCGCAAAGATCCTTCAATTCCGCAAGCAAGCTTCTTAAGCGACTTCTTGTTCTTTACGAAAGACCTGAGAGTGTGCATTGTGGTGCACGAGCTTAGCGGATATTGTTTCGCTGTGCCCTACCCCACAGGAGGTGATCCAGGGCATGTTGCACGGTGTATAAACGCCGAGCTGGCCGCCGCAGGTATTCAAGGTCAGCATGTTGTGCTGAGGATGGATAATGAAGCGTCTCTGATCTCGCTTTGGAACAAGGTGGGAAAAGACCGCTCATACCCAGGCCTCTCGTTGCACATAGACGCGGTGCCGAAAGGACGGCCGCAGTCGAAAGGGCTTGTGGAGGTAGGTGTGCGACACTTGAAGGAAGCCTTCTGGGTGAATTGGTTGACGCTAGAAACTACGCTGGAGAAGAAGCTCCGGCTGGGTGGTTTGTTGTACAAGGAAGCTTTGAGATATGTTGCTAGGACAAGGAACCTGCATGCGACATCGAAGTCGCAAACCACGCCAATTGAAAGGCTGCGACGCCAACATCTTCCAGTAACGAAGACGTTTCCTTTTGGGTGCAAGGGTTTTGCCAAACCTGCGAAGCAGAAGCCTGAGAATCGAGGCCGCCGCCTCATCCCGTGTATGTACCTAGGGCCTGCTAAACCCAATGGTGGAGGAGTGCGTGTGCTCCCTCTTGATCGGCCTGATGAGGTCGAGGTGATGTCGGCCTTTCGGCCGGACCAGCCTTACCTGTATCCTGAGGAGTTGGTGGTACAAGCCGCTGATTCGGGTGCCCCTTCTAGGCAAGACAACGTTTTAGAGCGTCCTGTTTCCTTAGACCTGAAGCCCCCCGAAGCCTTTCAGCCTGGAGAGCCTAAGGGTAATCTAGTTGAGAGGGGGAGTGCGGAGCCGGAGGCTCCAGCTGAGCTCTTGGAGGATGAGCTTATGGACTATGATCCTTCTCCAGTTGAGGAGGAAGAGGTACTCCCTGAAGGGCCCCCTGCAGGAGAGAACGAGGCCCCACCTTTGTACGATGTGGACATGCAGCCGGCCGACGATGATGATCCCATGGAGGTGGCGATCAGCTGGCTGGAGGACCATGCTTTGTACTCCATGTGTTCTAGACCTGAGGTTGTGTTCGCGGCAAAGGACGCTAAAGGGTCTAGGGCGGCCAAGTTGGAGTTTACTTTGAAGTTTGGAGGGTCCAAGGTGAAGGTTGAGGTTCCTTCTGGGGCTGCTGATGAGTATACTGGGGAGGTTCTTGAGGAGAAGAAACTTGGGGAAGGGATGCGTCTTGAAATGGAGGAACTGGACCACTTTGGTGTGTGCCAGGTTGTGTCTGAGAAGGAGGCGTTTCGCCTTGTGCGGGAGGCTAAGAGGAGAGTGCTTTCCACCAGGTGGGTGTTGCACTACAAGGACGGGCACAAGCGTGTGCGCTGCCGTTTGGTTGTGCGTGACTTTAAAGGGCCCACCTCTGCTTTAGCTGATGGCATCTATTCTCCTACTACTACCTTAGAGTCTGTGAGGTGTCTGTTGGGGATGTATGCGCATTTCGGAGGGAAGGTGATTTCGGGAGATATTTCTGTGGCCTTCATGCAGGCTAAGCTGTTTTCTACTGAGGTGGTGAAGCTGCCGGAGAACTGTAGGACAGTGTCAGGTGAACGTGTGCATTGTCTGCTGAAGCGTGCCATGAATGGTTTGCGGATTGGGCCTTTGGCTTGGTTTCGTGAGCTAGGAGAAACACTGAGAAAACTTGGTTTCTTTGTTACTGCTGACAGCACTGTGTATCGCAAGGTGATCAAGGAGAAAGGCAAGGATGCCATTGTGTTGGTGTTGGCCTATGTAGATGACATCTTGGTTTTCAGCACGGTTGCGAGTGTAGCTGAGAAAGTGTTTGAGGAACTGAGTAAAGTGTTCAAGATGAAGCGCACGGGAACGCTTCAACCGGGAGAGAAATCGGTGATCTCCTTCCTTGGGAGAAACATTTATCAGAGGAAGACCGGAGACTTGTACTTCGGACTCAAACCCGGGATGCTCCATAGCTGTGCGGAAGAGTATCAAATCACGAAGGGAGCGAAACTCCCCAAGCTTGAGCGTTTGTGGACCAGTCTGGAATCCACCCCGATCACGCATGAGGCCTATCAGCGCTACCGGCGCGTGTTGGGCAAACTGTCGTGGCTAGCTTTGACAAGAGCTGATTTGCAGTTTGTTGTAGGTTTTCTGGCCCGGAGCCAGAGCAACCCAGACTCCAGGAGTGAAGCGTGTATTCGAGCTGTGCTGCGTTGGGTTCTCACGCTTGGGAATCGGGTTCAGCGGATCCCGGCACAGTGGGTGAACTATCGCCCTTCGGAAAGTACGCGCGTGATCGATTGTTTCTGTGATGCTAGCTGGAATTTGCCCTCTGTGAGTGGGGCGATTATCTGCTGGCAGTGCAACCTGCTGAAGAGTTTTAGCCGTAAACAGACGGTTGTGGCCCTGAGCAGTGCCGAGGCTGAATTGAGTGCTTTGGTAGAGACTGTGAAAGAGGCTTTGTTTGCAGGGTTGCTTCAACAGTCGTTTTTGGAGGGATTGCCTGAGGATGATACCGGAAGCTTTTGGATCCGGATTTGTACCGATTCTGAGTCGGCAAAGGCGATTGCTTCAATGGAGGGACTCTTGAGAAGGGTTCGTCACCTGGAGTTGCGGTGTGCTTTCCTGCAGCAGATGGTTCAGTCGGGGAGAGTGATCCTCGAGTTTGTGGCCGGAGCATATAATGCCTCCGACGGCCTGACCAAGAGTATGGTATTTCAGGAGCAGCTGGACAACCTCTACGAGGTAACCGGTTTGGTTTCTTTTGAAGACGAGTTGGGTGAGTTTGAGTTGGAACGCCTGACTGCAGAAGAGCCGGTAAACCGTTCTTTTGTTCCTGAGGAGTACGTTTCACTGTGTGAAGCTGTGGCGAAGAACCAGGTCACCTTTGTGGTCGTTGAACTGTTCTGCCAGGAAGAAAGTGCCTTACAGAAGGCATGTGAGAAGCTTGAGATTGCCTATGTGGGCATCACTGAAAAGCTTGACTTTTGTTCTGAGCAGACGCAGTGTTTTCTGAAGGAGTTGTTTTCTGTGTTGAGTTGTGGCTTGAAGACTAAGATCTACTGCCATATCTCCACTCCCTGTACCACTGGGTGTCGTTTGCGTTACCGCGGGTGGCGCAAGTACAGTCAAGAGAAGTGGGAAGAGAAGAAGAAGTTGCATCAGCGTGCTTGGGAACTTCTTGAAGGTTTGTTGAAACCGGTTGCTCGGAGTGAACGCTTGTTGTTGACTCAAGAGTGGCCTCTGCAGAACGACCTCTGGAAGGACCCGCGGTATCTTCAGGTTGCTTCAGATTTGGGGCTTTCTGAGGGTATTGTGGTAGACCGCTGTGCGTACGACTGTGTGTTTAAACGGTGGTACTTTGCCACGAACAGTAAACGCTGGGTCAAAGTGTTTCCTAAAAGGGATTGTGACCAAGTGCATGAACATGTACAGGTGGAATTAAAAGATTCAGGGTTCTATCCTGAAAAGCTAGGTCTAGAGCTTGTAAAGTGTGCTCAAAAGACACTAGGTGCCGCATCAGTCCAAGAGGGTTTGCTACAGCCAGTTTAATTAATGCATGCTTCAGGGTTTCTTCGGACAGGCCTCTGGCCGTGGACTTCTCGCGCCACCGGAATGAAAATCCCATTTGGCTCAAGTTTTCGGCTCAGACTTTGCAGTGCCGACGTGGCCTTTTAGCCTGGAGTCCCTACTTTTGCTAAAGGCCCTGACTGGAACCCAAACCGCAACCTTAAAGGTCGTAGGCTGGCTGTCCAGCAAGGGTTGGGGCGGGGTAGCGCCATACTGCACGTGCTTTCAAGCCGAACACTTGCTCAGCCGTTGTCACAGGTTGAGCTTGCTCGCCATGACTTGGGGAAAAAACGGTGCCAAGGGTGCAGCAACGCCCTACATCGTCTGTCCTCACTGCTCTAGGGCGGGTAAGCAGAGCTGGATTTTCGTAGACAGAGTCCAGCACCATCCCTTTTGCAACCTGTGTGGCAACGCCTGGAAGACACAGGGTGCTCCGGTCACTCAAAGACTGCGCCCGCGGGGTCCCAAGAAGAACAGGGACAGAAGCGCAACCACTGAGAGTGCAACTCAAAGCCCCCAACGGCCCAGGAATCATGAGGGCAACCTCTCCAAAGCCGTCACGACTCTTTGGCAGAAGTTTCCCCCAGAGGTCCAGAAGGAACTGAGCGAGACAGGTTTCCAAGCAGGCCGGCAGCCGAGTCCGCCTCCAGGCCTCCAGTCTGGAAAAGGCAACGGGGCAAAGGGAGGGCTTGACGAGCAGGCCGAAGCCTCTAAGAACCTGTGGGATTCTGCGTCTGATGATCAGAAGAAGCTGATGCGCCAAGCTGGAATCCCTGAGCCGGTTGCGTCGGAGCCAACAGACCTTGCGGCCCTTTGCAAAAAGCACTTGGAGTCAATGCCGCCTTCGATCCAGCAAGCCCTTGCAGCACTTGATCCTCCGGCCCCCACGCAGACTCAGCAGATTGAGATTGCAACTCGTCGCTTTAAGCAGAGCACTACGGACTTGCGACTGATGATCCAGCAAACTGCTGCCTTACAGATTCGCATAGACCGAGCCAAAGCAACCTACCAAGAGCTGCTTGAGAAGATGAAGGTTTGCCAATCTGATCTGCAGAGCAAACAAGCTGAAGTCACGGCTATGCAGTCGGAGTTGGAAGCCACACTCCGTGCTGATGCTTCGGGTCTGGAGGACCCCGCGCGCAAGGACGATCCCTTGGAAGGGCTTCTAGATACGCTTGCCAAAGTTGGGATTGTCCTGACCCAGGAGCAGAAGGAGCTTTACGAGGAGGCCCAGCGCGGTAAGCTTAACGATGGGCAGCAGAATATGGAAGTTGAAGCCACAAACCAGCCCGGTTTGACGGCTCCGACCCGTGCCCCACCCCGACAGCCAGACGGTCTACGTGAATCTGGTGGGGACCTTCGGGCTATCATGTGCGAGCTACTGGTGGACCCGTATAGCGGCGTGTGGGCTTCGGCTCACGTACCACCTGCTAGGGCCGTCGTTCCCGCTAGACATGCTACTCTATGCCGACGACCTCGAGTCCTTGGGCCAAACTCTGCCAGAACACAAGGGCACTGAGCCGCATGAGCAAGCCAAGCCCAGGTCCAGGAGCCGAGGCCGTAGCACGCAGCAAGGTTAGGGAGTGGGGCTGGGGGTCCAGGTTAGGTCTGTTTTCGAGGAAGGTCCTTTAAGTGGGGAGAGTGGGCAACCTGCTTGTGCATTTCAGCCTGCCCTTCTGCTTGATCAAGACGTTTCCTGTGCCCCTGCGTCCAGCTCTCAGCCATGCGGGTTTTCCGGCGAATCGGTTAAGAGACCCATTTCTTTGTACAGTGATTTGTTTTCATTGGGGGAGTGCCAACCTCAGCAGCCCAAGTCCTTAGAGAAGGTTTCAGGGTATGTTGAGGCTTACTCACAATTTTGCAACACCGACCTTGTATGGGATCAGTTTTGGTTACCTGGTTTTTCTGGTAAGGAAGACTGGGATTCCTTTGGGGATTTGAGTGCCTGGCAGACTGTTACCAAAGGATTACGCCACAGCACCCCGCTGCAGTCCCAGGACACCCAACTCATCACAGGGCCCCAATTTTGGCCCCCGTCTTTCTCGACAACTGAGTTTGATGAGGTCCCTGTGACCGGTGCTTCTTCAATCTCTGCTTTTGTGGCCACAACCTCAGCAACGGCATCTCAAGTTGAGGAGTTTCCTCGCTTACAGGCGTCGGGGAGCCACGCCGAGGTTGGGGTCACCCGCAAACGTAATAAAACCAGGCGCAGAGCGAAAAAGCCCAAACACATTAGGGTGCCATTCTCTCAGCTTGCCCCTTGTGAGATGCCACCTGAGTTGCCACCGTCGGCAAGCCCACAAAGCCAGTGGCGAACACTCGAAGGCCAGGTGTGGGAGGCTGTCCAGAACCCAGGTCTGTTGGGAGCAACTTCGGAGTTGGTTGCTCACCTTCTTGATCAGGTTGAGCAGGGCAGCTTAGGTTGGTGGCTGTGCCAAGAGATCTTGGCCCTCCAACGTTCTTTTGACTTGACTTTGCTCTTGCTTGTTGCTCGGGGCTTTGAAGTTTTGCGCAAATCGCAGCCACAGGGGCACAGGCAAATGCGAGTCACATCTTGCAACATCACTTCTTGGAGGCCAGAAGTCAAGCAATGGTTTTCAGCTCAAGGGGATGTTATCTTGATTCAGGAGCACCATCTTTTGGAGTCCCAAGTTGTTGCTGAAATTTCGTCCATGGCTGCCATGGGCTTTGACTCCTTCCTTGTGCCCGCAGCCCCTGGGGAAGGCCGACGGAATAGCTCTAGAGGCGGAGTAGGGGTTTTAGTTAGAGCCCACCTGGGAGCCCGTTTGCGAGGCCAGTATACCAACCAAGGTTGCGGCTACGTGGCGGTGACGCTACGCACACAAGGGGCTGACTTGACAGTAGTTAGCCTGTACCTCCAGTCTTCCTCCGGCTTCGGGTCCCCGGTCAACTCTGACATCCTAGCATCTCTGCGCGCAATTCGTCAATCTGTGAGGGGCCCAATCCTGATAGGTGGAGACTGGAACTCGCCTTTGAAGGATTTGTTGGACACTGCCATTTTTCAAAGTTTGTCCCTTGAACCAATTGGGCCCAACAAAGCCACATGTGGTGACAATGAGCTTGATTTTCTGGCTGTATCACACTGCCTGGAAGGTTTGCTCCGGGTTGATGCCTCCTGGGATGTTCCTTTCAAGCCACATGCAGCAATCCAAGTTGCCCTTAATGTGGGCGCTTTCCAGCTCACCACTCCACAGCTTCCCTCCTTTGTGCTTTCCTTCAGGGAAGAACCGCTTGATTACCTACAGGTTGAGGAGACCCTCGCCTCTTTGCCCGATACCACCTTGTCGGCTGACCCCCTGAGCAATCGACTGGCTTCCATTTCCAGTTCGGTGGAGCACAGTCTTTTGCAATCGTCCCAGGGTATTGGTCGCCAACTCCAAGTTGAATTCCTCCCAGCTGTTCCTCGCATGTCCCAGTTCGCATGGGAAGGCTCTTGCCAGGCTTTTTGGCACCGGGTACAATTTCTGTGCCAGGGAGACCACCCCAAACGTCGAGAGCAATGCCAGGAGTATTTGCCGCAGATCCTGGACCACTGGCAGGGCAACTCGGAGGAGGCTGTTTCCTTTCTTTCTACGCTCCAGGCCTGTCTCTCGGAGCAGGCTGCTGTTCCCGAGCCCGTCCAGCAATTATTGCAGGAGCAATTTCTGCTGGCCTCTAAAGTTCACCAGGATGCCCAGACCAAGTCGTACAGGTCGTGGTTACAGGGAGCCCAAGAAAAAGGGATGGCTCCCCTTTTCAAGACGATCAAAAAAGGTGAAATCACCACTGCACGCCCCTTTCGGGATCTGTCCGCAGAGGTTCGTGCCCTGGCTAGAACCAAACTATGGCTCCGCACTTGGAAAGGCGTACTTAGAGTTGAGGACCTTCCTCCTCTTCCACACGCAGAGCAACAGGCTCGCGGAAAGCTACGGGAACTGGCTGCTCAGCAGGTAGCTACCCTGAGCCCCATTTCCCCGGAACAGCTGCAACAAAGGTTTTCCAAAGGCAGGGTCACTGCCCCAGGACCGGATGGCTGGAGCAAGTCCCTTCTCAAGAAATTGACTTGGCCAATGCTTCAGGACATCGCTGAATTTTATCAGGAGCTCGAAAGAGGCCTCCGAGTCCCGCAGCAGTTTCTCCTGACACAAGTTTGTATGCTGCCCAAATCGGCTACTGCTGAGAGACCTATCTCTTTAACTCACGTTTTGTGGAGGGACTACTGCAGAGCCAGGTGGTCCCTGATCCAAGAGTGGACGGTCTCCTACCAGGCCCTGGCTCCTTGGGATGCCGCAGTGCCAGGTCGAACTTCTCTAGACATCGGCATCCGCCGGTTGCTGTGGGCCGAAGCCTCCCGAACTCAGTCCAAACACTTTGTAGGACTCTTTCTTGATATCAAAGGCTTCTATGATTGTGTAGTTTGGGCCTCGGTAGTCGACACCGGACTCCTGCTGCAGTTCCCACCTTTGCTTTTGGAGCTTTCCCTTCAAATTTATGGTGGGACACGATTTGTCTCAGCCGAAAATTCGGTTTCGCCGGGAATAATTCCCACAGTAGGGTTGCTTCAGGGTTGCCCTGTTGCGCCGGTGGTTTCGAAACTGGCTTTGTTTGTCCCAATCAGGGACCTTCAGGCTACTGGCCTCACTCACAACATAGACCAGTGGCTGGATGACATTTCGGCTGACGTGGTAGGGTCCACTGCTTCTAACACAGCTCACAAAGCCCTCAAGACATTTCGTATACTGCGAGATTCTCTTGCGGAACGAAATCTTCAGGTTTCCTTGGAGAAAACCAAGTTTCTTTGCTCAGATTCTGCCACCTCTCAAGTTCTTGCGCGTCTGCGTTCGGACCAAGATCCTGGCATTACTCTGTTAGCCAAAGACTTAGGGGTTGACAGCAATGCTGGCAGACGCCGCAGGCTTGCCACCTCTCTGGGCAGGCACAAGAAGGCGCAAGGCCGCCACAAGCGCCTTCGTGCTTTAGGTGTTGATTCGCATTGTTCACGCACGAGGGTTGTGCGCGGATCCATCATGACATGTGCCACCTATGGCCATCAGGCACAGGGTGTTAGCCCCAAACGGTTGAAATGGCACCGCGCTGTGCTGGCTGGTAGCTTAGGACGCCAACATCTTGGAGGAACCCTGACCGTCTTGGAGATGTTCTCCCACAGATTTCCGGATCCCCGAGAGCAGATCATTTGTGAGCATTTGCAAGTTTTTCTTCGTATTCTGGGCCGTTCTCCTTCCATTTGGGAGGAAGTTCAGAGGTCCTGGCCCTTGGTCAAATCCAGGTTGGAGGCTTCGCCTCACCCTTGGAAAATCGTTGCCGGACCCATTTCGGCCATGATTCAGTATGCCAGAGACATGGGATGGGATGTCCAGTCCCCGGAAGTCTGGCATATTGATGGCCACCCCTGGCCCGTTGACTTCAGCCCCTTTCTTTTTCAGGAGCTGCGGCGCAAGATTCGGTCTACCATCAAGGGCGAAAGATGGCCAGCCATCTCTGGCCAACATGGTGGTCAAGGAGCTCAGGATGGTGTAGATTTTACAATTCATCGCCGCATTGCTTTAAAGAAGACCAAACGTCTGACCTTCTACCGGTCAATCTGGCAAGGTGCAGTTGTGCATGCGGGAAGTGGTGGCCACCCCAAGTGCCCTTACTGTAAGGATCGGGGCCTTGAGTCAGAAAACACACTACAACATGTGCTGTGGGACTGCCCCAGATGGGCCAGACAGCCAAAGCTTCCCCGGCATCTTGAACAAATGCGTCAGTCCCATCCTGCGCCCTGCCTTTGGTTGCGAGCCCTTCCCCCTCTTGCCTACGTCTCCTCGCCACTTCAGAACGCTGAGGATAGGTATGCGGGCACCTGGCCGTCACAGCCCTGGGACTCGGATTTTGTCATTGGCACCGATGCCAGTGGTGGAAAATTCTCTTCCGATCCCAGATTGAGGACCATTGGATGGGCTGTGATTCTAGCACGTAAAACGGGCCAAAGCATCACAGTTATCGCAACTGCGAGCGGGGTTTTGCCTCGGCCGGCCACGGTTCTAGATGGGGAGGTCCATGCCATTGTCAAGGCCCATGAGCTTTGCCCGGGCCTGAAGGATCTTACTACAGATTCTCGGATAGCTTGCAAGCAGGCCGCAGCTAGAGCGGTAACATCCAAGCATTCCATGTTTTGGAAACCCCAATGGCAGAACATATCCCCACAACACCTTCATTGGGTCAAGGCCCACTTGGATGTAGGAAAATTTGCTGAAAAGTTTGGAAAAGATGAGGTTTGGCGTTGGCATTTGAATCAGGAAGCTGACCAACTTGCCGGGTCCAGGGCTGACCAAGCTTTGCACCCTGATGCCAGAAAGCAAGTCAGGCAAGTTGACACGCTGGTTTCCACCCTTTCCCAGCTACTTAGTCAGAGGGCGGAGATTTTGATTACTACGCAGGATAAGAAGACTATTTTCTGCAAGCGCCAGCCAAAACCTCCAACCCTTAACAAAAGGCAGCAGATTGAGCAACTCGTCAGCCAAACCGTCTCTCCGCAGGGACACCAGTGGGAAATTCGGAGTCAGCACCCTACGAACCTCACAGCCATGTGTGGGAAATGTGGCCTTTACCTGCAGCAAGTGGACCCCCCTTCACTGTTCCAGCAGGTCCTTGCACAGCCGTGCCTGGGAGGGGAAGGTCGTCCCCCGGAGCACCTGGCCTGTCACTCCTCCCATCAGCTTGTTTCCATAGGCAAAGCTTGGCAGTGTAAAGTGTGTGAAGGCATTTTGCCAGCGCGGGCAAAGAAAGTCCCGGGGCTCCTCCAGTCCCTGTGTGTGACCCGTAAACACACTAACAAACTGACTAAGTTCACCAAGAGTCTGTTAAGTGGTGTAGGGGTTCCGGAGTCACTACCTGCCTCCAAGAAGGCTAGCAAGCTTTCTAAGGAGACCCTCCCAAAAGCCCGAAACCTTAGCAACTTCTTTGCAACACCACTTAACAGGGTTGAGGCCACTCCCCTGCAAACTCTCACTTCCGATGACCCTCCCTTGCAGAACATGGTCAGGATTGAGCCTCCCTCTCCTGCTGTCCGCGATCACCGGGATCCTGGTAGCCCAGAGCTTGGAGACTTAAGGGCTGCTGGCTCCATTGTTCGCAAGGTGAAGTTCCAAAATCCATCCAATCATTGTTACACCAATTCTTTGGTGGTTGGTTTCTTTTGGATTGACCTGCTCCTTGATGCCTCCAGCCCCTTTGCTGGATCCCCCATCCAGGGCATTCTGCGATGGTTGAAAGATCAACGCAAAGTCGAGCTGTGGCAGTCCCTGGTTTGGAAGAGATTAGTTGCAGGCCAGGGTCGATGGGAATCCCCAAACAGCCAGCATGATGTTTGTCAACTTCTCATGCACCTTTCTTCGGGGCTTCCCCGTGACCTCTCTTGCGTTTCATGGAGAGCTCGTGCTCCCAATGCACCTCACCACGAGGGTAACTTTTTCCCACTTCCTCTTCACCTCCCGGAGCACGAAGTCTCTATGAGGGAACTCCTGGCAAGTTGGCAACAAGGTGGAGAAGTGAAAATCCTTACTCACCCGCCTTTGATTGCATTGCAGCTTTTGAGGTTTGTTAGGGAAGGGGGGGGTTTTCGGAGGCTCGAGAACCCAGTTGGTTTTGAGGATCCTTGTGTGCTTGAGGGATTGGATGGGGAACTTCTTCGTTACTACCCCAAGGCCGTGGTCTCGCATTTAGGCAACTCCCCGACCTCTGGACATTATCGTACTTTACTTCTCCCCTCCAAGCTTATTACTGATGATGGGGTAGGTGCTGTTTGCGCCAAGCCTGCAGATGTAGCCTGGTCTAAGTGCTACTCGTACCTGGTTTTGCTAACCCTCCATGTCTGAGCCTTCTCGCAGCTTTTGGCTCCAAGATGGGTAAAGGAAAAGGGAAGAAAAAGCCAGGGAAGGGGCAGAATGCCCCTTTCGAGGACCCGGTAACGGAACAGCGGTACCAGGCCCTCTTGCAGCATCGTTTTAGTGAGGGCAAACCTGCTGCTATTTCGAGATCAAGGTACTCCAGGCAAAGCCAGCATTCAGGTACCGACCGGGAACCTCCGGCTTCTGGTCCCAAGGCCCCTATCACGAGGCCAAAAGCCGCACCCAAGCCGGGGGTAGCCCGAACCCCACCACCACCCCCGCCAAAGCGGCAACGCACAGAGGCCCAGGCTGAGGAGGCCTCGCCAAGAGCCTCCGGTTCCAATCTGCAGGCTGAGGTGCCCTCGCCTTCTAACCTAGCCTCCACAACCCAGGTTGAGCAGGTCTCGCCTGCACCAACCCCTCCTTTGGGGCCTGAGCAGGATGAGGTGCTGACCTCTCCTAAGCAGGAACCTGCCCAGAGTTCTCAGACTGAGGTTCCTTCACCGGCAACTAAGCCGGATACAGATGCTGGTGATCCAGGCCCGGCCGCCACGACCCAGGTTGAGAAGGTCTCGCCTGAACCGGCCTCTCCCTTGGAGCATGAGCAGGAAGAGGTACTGACCTCTCCTAAGCAGGAGCCTGCCCAAAGCTCCCAGGTTGAGGTTACCTCACCGGCGCCCAAGCCGGATACAGAAGGCCCGGCCTTCCAAAACACAGGTTGAGAAGATCTCACCTGAGCCAGCCTCTTCTTTGGTGCCTGAGCAGGTTGAGGAACCCTCACCTCATCCAGATCCTGTCCCCAGTGACCAGGTTGAGGCAAACTCACCGGCCACCACCAAGTTTTCGGAGGAGGCTCCATCCCCAGCCGAGTCCCATTCAGGCCCAGATCCGGGAATCAAGGGCGAGGACATCAGAGGGGAACCAGGTCCGGAGGTTCCCTTGGAGCTTCTTTTCAAGCAGCCCCTGAAGATCCCGAGATCCCTCCGAGGCGTGTCCCTAAACAAAAAAGGCACGTCTGGCACGCCTTGGACTACTTACACTCCGGCGGAGCTGGAGGACGAGCAT